TTGCCTGGGGCGGCCCCCCGGGGACTCAGGAGAAAATGCGCGGGAGAGGGGCCCGCTGCAGGAGGCTCCCCTCGAGCCCCGCTGCTGACAGTGCGAGGGTCGGGGCGGCACCCCTCGCCGCCTTTGGGGGCTTGGGCCCCCCCAAGCAGGGGGCGAGGGAACGACAGGAGCAGGAGGAGGAGGAGGAGTGAAGGTGCAGGAGGATGAGAGGGGAGGTTGAGGAGGGCGAGGAGGAGAAGGGGGAGGAGGAGGAGGCGGAGGAGGAGGAGGAGGAGGACAGAACGCAATCAGCTCAGCTTCATGCCTGGGACGGGGCAGGAGCACGGGGCAGTAGCACACGAGGGAGGAGGGGACCCCCGAAGGACCTGAGCCCCGCGGCGCTGAGCCAGCTCGAGCTGAGCCTGCCCGACCACTGGGCGGCTGCCTTCTTCGTGGCCGCCCTCCGCGCGGAGGTGCAGCGCAGCGAGGAGGCCCGGGAGCTCTACGAGGCGCTGAGGCATCACTTCCCCAGGTCCTCGTATCCGAGGGGCTGCGCCTACATCATGATCGGGGGTCGAGGCTGAAAGCTGCTTGACGTCCGTGGTCGAGGCCTGAGGCGTGGAGGCTGTTGAAGGCGCCCTCGCCGCCACGGCCGGGTTCCCCCCCCAGGGAGCTCTGCGAGGCGCTGGGGCCCAGGCCCTCGCACCCGAGGGGCTGCGCCCCCCCCTGGCGGAGCGGGCAGTGCGCTGGGAGCGGGGACCCAGGGTCTCCGAGAACGCGTTGTTCGTCCACCCCCTCAATGTGGGCATCGGGGGGCCGCCTTCGGGCCCCAGGACTGGCAAAGATGGGCCCGGGACGAAAGAGTATCCCCAGGTTCGGATGCAACTCTTGGGAGGTCAAATTCTGATGTTGCCCTGGTCCGAGATCCGGCTTGATCCAGCTTAATGCCGCTTAATCCCGATGTATCCCGCCGAATCCCGCTTAATCCGAGGCCCAATGAGGCTTAATTCTCCTTAATCCTTCCGACGAAGGCCTCCCAGCAGTTGCCTACTAACCCAGGGAGGGGGTGAGGACCTCTTGGGGCCGCACACTGACAAAATCATATCGTCGCAGTCGAACGACTTTTGCCCCGTGTTCGGCCTTCGGGGGCCCTCGCCGGGCCCCAGGGCGGTCCCAAAACCGAATCGGGACGACAAGCCTGTGCCGGGGAAGGCGTCCAGATCTCCGGGGTCCCACGTGGAAGAAAACACGACGTGGGAGTTTTAGGGCGGGTGCGCTGGGAGTGTTTTTCTTGTCCGTGCGCGAGGGTGCAGGCACCACTGTCGCAGGCCTAGAGGTTGACACCAACACCAATACCGAAATCTAGGATCATCTTTCCAATGTGGAGGCAACCCCCCTGTCTTGGTGTTGGTGCCAATTTCTGGGCCTCCGACAGTGCTGACTCTGAAGTGTGGGCAGGCGCTCGCGCGTAAGTGCGGCAGTCTCGGTTCCCGCCCCCCCTCCCTGGGCATGGCTAAGCTTCCCCGTGCCGGCCAGAACCGGTTGGGTTGCCTGCACCGTTCGCAGCATGGGCCACCGCGCCCTCCCCACGATCGCGCTTCGACGTCGGAGGCTGTTTGGCATGTTCGACGAAGGCAGCTATACACCACCACCGTGTCAGGCCAGGGCCATCCTGGGCCCCTGGATGGTGTATAGACCCTCCTTGCCTCGGCCAGAGTGGCGTATACACCATGCCTGGCCTGGCACAGTGGTGGTGTATAGATGCCTTCTGCGTAGTGGCATTGATGGTGGCGCCGGGGTCCGGGGCAGCGCCTCCGTTCCGACAGGGCCATATGGGCGTTCTCTTTCCAATCGGCTTCCGGGGAGCAGGCCAGAGAAGGCCAGGTGAATCGAGGTAAGCCTGGATACATCGGAGGTGGATAGACCTCCTACCCTGACACGTCGATTAGTGAATTGTCCGTTTTCGGTTCTCGAGAGGGCGCCGCGGCCGCTATTTTCCAGGCTTGCGCCCGCCAGGTTTGGGCCCGAAGTCGTTTTCACTAAACCACGTTTGACTAAAGGGTGGTCTGTCCATCCCCGAATACATCTGGGTGGCTCCAGAAATCTCCAGCAGGAAAGTCTAGAGAAAATCGTGGATGCTCCAGCGCGAGTCGAGGGACAGCAGAGGTGAGCCCCGAACGATCCCCGGGTCCTCGTGCCCGAGGCGCTGCGCCCTCCCTACTGCTCAGTCGGGCAAGTTCCTCGACAGGAGGAATATTCCGAAATAGTCCAGAAATAGTCTGGGGACGATGTCTTCACTATTTTCGACGATTTTCGAGCTTTTGTTGATTTTAATCTTACCTCCCAAATCCGCCTGTACAGGAGGACATGCCTGGCCTAAAACCGACCGGTCGAAGCTGTAGATCTCTGGGCGCTCTCTTGCTGGGCGCCTCCCGTGCCCCCCCCCCCTCCCGCCCCCCCCCCGCCTCTGGACGGCGCGCGCATCAGGGGCAACGAAAAGGGGGGGACAGACAATAGGGGG